ACACACTTTCACACACACACACACTTTCACAAACACACGCGCGAGCACGCGCGCACACACACATACGCACGCGCACAAGCAGACATGTAAGCACCGGTAAGAATCCGTTCTCTCTCTCTCTCCAGACTTGCGCACGCGCGAATATGAAAACGTACAAGCACTTACAAAAAAAGAAAGAAAACGTACAAGCACTTAAAAAGAAAAAAAAACGTACGAGCACTCAACAATTTCTATCTCTCTACCACGCCCTCATCTAGGACAATATACGTTTATATATAGGGCTTGTGTATGGTAGGATAACCTGATGACCAGCTCTGTAGCCTCGAGTGACAGCTCAGCATGCCAATCGGGTCGACGAACGGTCCAGCGGGCAGGGTCATCTTCGTCCGTCTGTTCGAATTTTAAGCCCCTCAGCCATGACTCGATGGCGGGAAGGCTATGGCGATAAAGCGCGGCATTTTTATCGGGCAGCTTGGTGATATACGCGTCTTGGACCGCCACGTCACCGGAAGCCGCGCTCTCCGCTCCCTCCGACCCCGCCGCATCCCCCCCGCTCTGCGCCCTGCACACCAACGTCAATCCCACGGCCGAACGTGTTCTGTGCGCGCCATCGAAAGCCGCGGCAAGCGGATATGGCGACCACGAGGTGGGCCGCAAGCGATGTTGCCGCCATAGTCCGAGATTACCGGCAGCGTCGGGATCGCCTTCCCGCGCGCCTGACGTGGCAAGCCCTGCGGACGCCGGCTCTGTGGGCGTGTTAGCAATCCAGGTCGATTCAACTGGGCCGAGACGGGAGGCAAGGGCGGACGACGTCTTGCCAGTGGTGCCTGCGCTTGTGGTTGTAACAAGTCGCCGCTTGGCGGCCACGCAACCCGGCCTCTGATACGCACCTGTGATACACATGGAGCTGACGGAAGAGCTGGCATACGCCATTGCCGCGAACCGCGGGCCGTGCCTGTGCCTGCCTTTGCCTCTGCCTTGTCCACCTCCCTTCCCCTGGCCCCCTCCCACGCACTCTCCCGCTCCTTTGCCTACGCCCTCAAAACCGCGCACTCTCCCGCTTCAGAAGGGCGCCAGATCACGTGGCTGGGATTCCCCAAAATCTTGTCACGGCCGCCTTTCTCACCACCGAAGTACACAGTCCCAGGGCCTCGCCACACTGCACACGAAACGAACATTTTTTTTTATTTATTATTTTTCAATTCATTCCGAAGGATCAGTATAAAACGAGGCCGGGGAACCCCGTAGCAGCCACATCCGTGCTCAAGCCTCCAACGAGGGAACATGCGGGAGCTGCACCCACCAGCAGGTGCGATACCTGCTACAGCAGGTGGGCGATACCGGCCAGGGGTCAGCCGGTAGCATCAGGGCCGAGCTTCTTCGATGGGCCAGTCACTGTGCCTCCCCTCCGGTCCCCTCCCCCTATAATGACAATAAAAAAGGCCTGAAAGGCCGTCCTGTCCAGATTTGACAGGTAATTGAATTGGTTGGACCCTCGCAATTCGACCGGGAGTTATCCTGGCAGCCTCAGCCAGTTTCGCTTTTGCCTGTGCTATTCCATAACATAACTCCTCAAATGGGCCACAGCCTGATCCTGATCATCCTACTTCCTATCTGACTACAAGTTCCTCTTCCCGCTCTACCTATTTAGGCTCGTCCTCTACTTCGCTACCCTACCAAGAAACTACAGCTTTCACAGACCTACAAAACAGGTCTGACCCCGGCCTGCCACGACCAAGAGGACCACTTTAAGCGTTCCTTATTTTGGGCCCCCCCCGGACACTCTCCTTCCCACCCTTCACCCGTTGCAGTCTACTGCGATTGCCGACAGGAACTGAGTGTCCTGGTTCGTGAGTTCCCCTCCTCCTACAGTCTTCCCCTGAACAAAACGCATGTATGTACTATTCAACTTCCCCTGGAAAAGTCGATTTCTTGAAGTCACGCTCCGAAATTCAAATAGAACACGCGTTCAAATAGTACGCACATATGTTCTATTCGAATAGTACGCACGTTTGTTCTATTTGAACACGTGGGTGTTCTATTCAAATAGAACATACGGGTGTTCTTTGTGTGTGTGTGTGTGTGTGTGTGTGTGTGTGACGGGTGGAGGTCCTCTTGGCAGCTTACTGTGATGGCGGATCGTGGTCCTGTGGCAGATCTTGGCGGGTGATGGCGATGCTCCAAGACTGCATCGATGTCGAAACAATCTGTTCGAGTCTTGTGCACAGCTCGTGTTGGGGCTGACTGTTTGAATGCTACATATAGTCAGGGTCTCGCTCCACTACTCTCCACATGCACAATAGATTAAAAAATGTGGCTATGTATAATTTCATTTTCAATGAGAAGATTCTTTTACATTTTGCACATTTGGTGCGTACTGGAAGGGGCCCCCTCTACCAGGCCCCATGTGTGTGTGTGTGTGTGTGTGTGTGTATAGTGAGATGAGTCCACCTCGTCATAAGACGAGGCGAGCTCAGTTTGAAAGACAACACATCACAACAAGTGCAGACACTCAGGACACAAATTGAAATGTATGAGTATCCAACATAAATCTATAAAACCATGTCGTAAACAATCATTGCCCAAAAACAAGCCACACATGTCAATTTTCGATCCCTTGTACCGAGAAAAAAACCATCAATGGTCCACCAAGAGGAAGGTAGAATCGTGACATGGGAAGAAAGTCTTATTGAAAAGGAAGAGGGGAGGGTGAGAATGGGAATGGGGTAAAGGAAAAGGAAGAGGGACGGGAAGGGGAAGGCAAAGATTAAGATGAAAAAGAAGAGGGAAGAGGAAGAGGAAGAGGAAGAAGAGGAGAGAGGGAGAGGGGAGAGGGGGAGAAAAAAAAAGGGAGAGAGAGAGCCACATACGATGAGGAACAAGATGAAATCCATACCCGTGAGCCATGCTAAACACGTGAGCAAGGAGTCAAGCCGGAGTTAAAGAAGGATGGGCAGATCGAGAAAGCAGGATGTTCCACATGCCTCAGAGAGTAGTGAATTTTTTTTTTGCAACAAGAATCGAGAAATACAACCAGAACATCGTAGATTTTGCAGAGAGGAATCCTCCTCAAGCAAAGAGGGACCAGTTTCACACAAAAATCCAAAACTGAATTCAGCGGGCGGAGATGAAATTTAGAGAGCAAAGTTTTGAAACAAACAATGTCTGATCGTAGTCCCGAAAGGATCTAAGAGGGCACATAAAATATTGATCCGAAACAACGGGTGTTCTGGTGGTACTAAAATCATGTAGGCCGACAATTCCACCTACGCAGTAAAAGATGTACTGAAACTGATGTACTAAAAAAGATGTGCCCTAAAAGTTTGCAAAGCACAAGGCATTTTAGGCCAAAGTCCAAACTAGAGGAGCACTTGGAGATGTGACGTCCATACATATTAATTGGCGAAGAAGTCTGGAGGAGAGCAAGTTAGGATACTGAAAAGGTAGTACTGAAAGCTAAATAAGGAGCAACACCAAACTCGCTCAAACATGAATCAAATAGGAGTGGACGGGAGGGAAACGAGGGAGTGAAGCACGGAACAAACAAAGTCCTATCGTAGTCAAAAGGCCAAAGACAGCATTAATCCAAAAAAGCGGATGACCGGGCAACACTAAATTCCATAAACTAACCACTCTACATGAATGACGAGGAATTTTGGAGGGGAGCAAACTCGAACATCCCAAAGCTTACACCAAAGACTGGGAACTCAAAGTTAGGAAGGATGGAACGTGCAAATTGTGATCCGATCACTACTAGCACCCCATATCAACACCATGGTGAGAGCAAAAGAGAGAAAGATAACAATTATAGCGAAGATTATGATGGCGAAGTGCACGTCGCATCGGCAGGAGGCCTCCAGGCTGTCAGGGAAGCATTGAGGATTGGAGAGGGGGGAGGGAGCTTTAGAAACATTACGCGCCAAAAGTAAGAGTGCAAGAACGGAGGAGAGCAATATGCACGAGAAGATAGCGGAGAGGACAGAGGGGAATCGCTGGAAGGAAGCCATAATTGCGTCGCTAATTAAACAGGACACCTTCCACGCATGACGAGGGGGGAGGAGGAGTTTCAGGCGGTGCAACAAAGAGATCGGCGGTGGTCTATAGAATCAAGGAGTTCGAAAAAAACTAAGGTAGCCAGCATCATGACAAAGATCGTGAAGATCCCCAAGAAGAAGGACGCATAATCCATGGCGAGCTCGACGAACAAGAACAGCTACAGGAGACGCGTCTCCAACAACAAATCCTAAGTCAAACATGCACGCAACAGCAAACAGGCAGATAAGGAAAACATCATGTTAAACATCCATGAGGCATGAGCAGGGGCAAACAAGCGTGATGAAGAAAGGGGGAGATGAAAGAAGGAAGAGGAAAAAGGAAAGGAAGGAAGAAACAAAACAGAGAGGGAGGGAGAAAGGAAGGGCGCAAACGAGCAAGGGAGAGAGAGAGAGAGAGAGAGAGAGAGAGAGAGAGAGAGAGAGAGAGAGAGGGGGGAGAGGGAAGGGAAATGGAGGGAAAAAAAAAGAAGAAACTCCCAAATCGGCCGAGCGACCCCAAAGTGTCGACGAAACCAGTCAAAGGGGGAGAGCAAACTAGTCCCTAAAGCTTTTTCGCCAGCGTCTGCCGAACTGGCTCATCAGGGGGGAGATGCCCCTTGGTTAGGGGTGAAGAAGAGAGGAGGGGGAGGGGGAGGGGGAGGTTGAAGGCGGGGGAGAGAATAAGCGGAGGGAGGGGGATGGGGGGAGGATGGTGGGGCAAAAGGAAGACGCATTACCACCATCGCACGGGAGGAGGAAGCCGACGACATGGCAACACTTGGAAGGAGAAGAAGGAAAGAGCCGCCAATCCCAGTGCAAACGTGTCACGTAATCACGGAGCGACCAACCACTGAGTTGCCGATGCACAGCCGCTGGGGCCTGTCTCGGACCGCTACGAGGTAAAAATCAATTAGCGCTTGGACGCACACGGAGCAGAGCGAGGAAACTACGAATAGCCCTACAAGAGCGAATGACGAACCGGTACGGCTACGCGTAACTATCCCCGACTGCTGAGGAAGAGAGGGTAATGATGACTGACAGGATCGGTTAAATAGTCCAGCGAACGGTCCAAACCCACGCGCCAATTGCGCAATACGACCAGATAGCTACGAGGCGTAACACGGATTGAAAAACACGCACCGGGGGGTTATGTGTACAGGCAAGAGGGCCTTGAGTACAATTGAAAGCGAGCAGGGGGGTACGCATGGGGGGTAGCCAATCCAAAAAATAAATAAAGGCTAGGATATCCGGTTAATCCTTGCCAAACCAGGGTATTATAAAATCTTGGGGGATACCCATTATTTAACTGACTCTGCAGGAAAATGTGCCATTGTATCTTCAAGTACCGGACGCTAACCCACCGGTGGAAAGCCACACCCCAAGGAAGAAGGAGAGAATGTGTGTGTGTGTGTGTGTCTGTGTGTGTGTGTGTGTGTGTGTGACCCTCCCCTGTCCCGCTGGCGAGGAGCCTGGAGGCGGGCAACGGGTACCCGCCTCAACAGGCAAGTACCCGCCAGCCACCATCACAGTCCTGCCGGAAGGGACTGAGACAACAAACAACAACACACAACACCAGTAATTGTATTTAGGAAAACAGGGAACAGGTCTCAACTTCAACTTATGAATGGTAGACTCGACATCCACTCGTGGAACCATATAGTTAGCAGGTGAGTTAAGGACCTTGAACACACAGCGGAGGCACTTTCTGAGACCAAAACCGTTATTGGACATGTCGACTAGAACTCTGAAAATTTCAGATGCAGCATCCTCAGGCCTAGAACATAAGACCAATATAATGGAGACCTGGGGGATGATGATGTTCAATGACTGCTGCTCAGGCCTGTTGGACAAAAAATTAACATATCTAGTGATGGAGAAATCAAGTACTCATCTCTTGTCGAACTTAGTAGTGAAAAATTCGCCAGATGATTCCGAGAGGACTGTGATCTCCGAATTCAGGAACTGAGCTTTCAGT